AGTGCAGCACGCCAAAAGCGATATACTCTAGCCAAAATAGATATTCGGTATAGTTGAAATAAATTGAGCTTATAGATAGATATAGATATTCATAAAAATTGTTAAATTTCTAGGAAGTAAATAGAAATTGCTAAACATATTTTATTTCCAAATAAAGAACAGCTGAGATAAAATACCAAGAATAAACTGCCGTCAAGTTCTTAGAACTTTTTTAACATTAACCTTATTCAGTTTTCGACTTATTGTCAAGAGCTGCTGTTTCCTAAATGAGAGTATAGAAACTAAATAAAAATTTGTATATATTTATGCATGTTCTAAGCCGAAATGTATCTTAACCATGTGCGTTGCGTGCCTGATGAGAAAGTTATTATATAGAACATTTGGCCAGGACAAACAATGGGCAACGGGTTGGTCGAACTGCAAATGACTTTCGGCCCGAGTTGGCTTGGCTTGCAATAAAACTAAATGAATTGGAAACTTGCACAAAATTCAAGTTGAACTGCTGACAGCGCCAACTACACCAACTACCCAGCGTTAATGGGAAAACTTCAAAAAAAAAAAAAAAAAAAAAAGAAAACAGAAAAGACCAATGTGAAAGCCCGGGCGAGACGCCCTGCTGATGTCATGCCTGTTGTTCATAAAGAAAACAACCGAATTCTTTGACTTGAGCGTAAGCGAAAGAAAGAAAAGCCAAGTAGCAGCAGCAGCAGAACTTGAAAATTGAAAAGCGACAGCTGACAGTTTGGACAGAGAGGCGATTTCTGGTTTGAGTGTGCCTCTTGGCACGTGCTCTGTGTGTGTGTGTGTGTGTGTGTGTGTAGGTTTGCCTTGGCATTGAAAAGGATACATGTGCCATGTCCTGGGTATGCGACCATCTGGCCGGCTGGTCGGCGTGTGCCAGTGAACATATCTAGCGCCCGCTGTTTGTTTAGGACTTTGTTTTGATTAAGTGCCCAAAAATTGTTTTGCATTATTTGCATAAAGATTGAGAAATTGAATGCTTGCTACGAGTTTGATTTATTTGCCCTTGTCAATTCGCACGCTATTCTCTCAATCGCATCAAATAACATTTATGCGTTTATAGGGACCAGGCCTTAGCTTTTATGAGCCGTAAAGCTATGATAGATTCCCTCGCACACGGCTATAAAACTGACGGCCAACAAACGCCCAACGGACACATTAAATCTTACCAACTACAAGCCATAAAATGGCATGCGCCAATTCGCGTCGGCCATTTAACTGGCCAACATTCCACTTACTCCTCGCATTTAATACATTTTATACCAATTTCGGTATCTGCAATTGTTAGGAAATACATCATCTGATATATACTATATATTCTTCAAATATTTTAATGGGAGTGCAAAGCATATTTAAAACAAAATATATGAATCTAAATTGTCATTTTATAAACTCTGTTTGCTCTAGATGCAGACTCAAGCCAACAAAGTGTACTCAAACATGGAGAACTTATTTACATTTTGAATAAACATTTAAATGCCAACCGCTTCATATCTTGAAATATTTGCCACTTCTGGCTTTATTTTTGACCAAAAATTTTAATTTATAATATTTTATAATATTTGATAACAGAAAATTTCCCAAAACTATACCGGAAAAATAATTTTTCTTTAAAAAAAATGTATAAAATATATAAAATAAATAAAATAAAAATGAACATATTTAAGATGCAGAATATATTATTATATTTATTTTTATCCTATTAAATCCTTTTTGGCCGATATATGAGATTTGAAGTATATATAGGTCTGGAAACTTAATCGATTGGAAACTTAAGAACTTGACTTAAATAGAAATCGCACTTGAATACTGTTTCATTAAGCTGAAGTGCAGTTAATTGAACCTATGTCACGCTGGTAAACATTGCGGTCATTAGACGGCTAAGGCAAAGACAATACAATAAGAAGAGCGTATGTTCTTTTATATTGTCTGCGGCTAAAGGTCATCATTAGCAGGGTCCTTGCTGTGGCCAATATACACGTAATCAGCCAGCCTCAAACACTTAAAGATGCCACTAAATAAGATTAAGTGCATGCCACAATATTAAGTATTTGCATTTTTATTTAACTGCCACAGAGAGAAAGCGAGAGAGATAGAGAGGGAGAGAGAGAGAAAGCGCCGTCGCAAAATCTGACAAAAGCAACCGGTAGTTCTTGCTGCGCTGCCGACGTCAACGGCAGCAGCGACAGCGTCTGTTGCGTCGCTGTTATTGTGCGCGGCGCCAACTGATACAAGATTTTTGGGCCGAAAATTCAGTTGCTGTTATTCGGATGCTGCGGCCAGTTGTTGTCGCTGTCGACCAGCTCGTGGGCCGAATGCGAATACGAAACGTGACGCGTCAGATACGCGATATTTGAAAACAAGTAATCATAAATATACGCATTTTTTCCTCTTATATGTTATACACAAAAGTGTGGCCCGCAACACGCAACAGAAATTCCAAAATTTAAATATAAATAATAATCACAATACGGCCATAAACCTTGTTAACATATTCATAACCAAGTTTTTAGCAAATTGTTACTAATATGTTCGGGCCATAATGCAACACAAATAAGTGCAAAACAAAACGCAAAGTGCATTGTTCGCAAAATAACTCAAAACAATATGAAAAACAGTTCAAAGCAATAAACAAAATTAAAAAGGCGAAAAAGAAATGTTAAAAAAAAAAAACAGAATACATAAAAATGTGGCAGGCAACATTTAATAAATTTCAATTAAACGTGTTTAAAATGCACAAACGATTTCCAGCACTGGCTGATTAACAAATACAAAAACAAATTATAATTAATTGGCTCTAAGTGTATATACAAAATGTTTCAATGAGCCATTAGAAAGATATGCAAATCCAATTAAAATTTCCACTTTATTTTTGTATACCCTGAAACCATAAAAAGCGGCTAACGGGTGTATTATCTTCTTCTGCAAATGTCATGTAGTAGGCTAAAGGAAGGCTCTCCCATGCCCACCTCGATCTGGGCTACTATAAAACACTTCAAATTTGAGATTTATATATAAGCATAACATGTGAAGAACCAGTACAGATAAAGGTCCTATGACCGGGACTGATCCCGAAACTAGACTAAAATACCGCAACGGTCGATGTCCTGGAGTTTTTACTGTGTAGAATTATTTGCGGATGCGATTTAAAGATTTGTTTTCTAAGTAGAGAATTAGAAGAGCAAAGACACAATCAGCTTCTTATGTAGGTTCTTTTTTATAACTTTTTTCGATACCCTTACCTATTACAAAAATATCGATAATTATCGATTTTGGGACACGGTTCTTTGAGCATAACTCGTAACTATAAGAGCTAGGTACACCAAACTTGGTATGTAGGTTCATCTTTATCTTTGTTTTGTCGATAGCTTCACTTATTTCCAGAATATCGATAAATTTTTATTTTGAGACTTGGTTTTGAGCATAACTCAGAAACTATAAGAGCTAAGTACAACATGTAGGTTAAAAGTATCAATCGTGTGATATGGGTTTTCAAGCATAACTCAGAAACAACATATTTACTCCAAAGTTGGCATGTAGGTTCTTATATAGAGTATGATAGAGAATATTTTCATTTTTGGATACCTGACCCATTCCCACAAAAGTGAACCAACAAGCTCATTTTTAAGCTGGCGCTGGGTATATACTCACATTTTAGGGGTCGCATCAAACTCTTCAAGAAGTAAAGTGCCAAAGCATGAGACATGAGGGTAGAAGAAGCGCAGTATAGAAGTTTAAGCTAGAAATTTGGTTTGCTTGTAGTTGGGCTTAGGGTATCTCCTAGCCGGGTACTCTTGACTAGAGCAAGCTTCATTCTTTGTTTGTTTGTTTGTTTTTTTTTTTTTTTGCCAAATTCTGACATTTATTAGCGATTTGTTGGGGCTTTCAGAAGCTAATGTTATCTAGCGATCGCTAGAGCCCGCCATTCATTAAACCAAATCGGTGCAAACTCGATCCTCATTTAAGGCAAGGCCATAAAGTTTGACAAAATTAAGAAAAAATAGCAAAATGCGAACAAATCAAATATAATAAATTTCATATGCAAAAACTTTCCAAAAAGGAAGAAGACAATATAAAAAACATACAATCAAAATAACAAGTGATAGAAAAAAACACTTTATGGTTAGTGACAATGCATAACTTATGGATGCGATACGCGATGCGACATGGCGCTGCCCACATTGGAGGCGATTGCCATGCCACGATGTCCAATGGCTTAAAACGCCGACACAATATAATAATAGCTAATAAAAACGATACCAAGTTAACACAATCGAAACCAGTTTCGGTTCATATCAAAATAAAAAATCCAAATCGACATTCTTGAAAAAAAGTCAACGTACACATTTTGCATAAATATGCATAATATAAGAAAAAACATTATATCATATACATTTTTTGGCTTAAGAATAATAATAATAACTTTACGACAAGCCCTGTAGATATTATATATATCTATAGATACAAATAATAGTATTGCCTATTATATAGTAGGGATCTGTGTGTGACCTTGCTAGTCGGTTGCTAGCTTAAAGGAAATTAAATTAAATGTGACTTAATGATGCAAATGAAAATTCCGAGGATATTGTTGATCCAGCAAGGACATTAAATTGGCAGCTAGCCTCTTTAACTGGTTTACCTGTGGATAATATTTAATTTATGTACATAAAAAAAAGACGCTGCAGGTGCTTGCCTCTTCGATGCTAACGAAAATTTAATGTGCAAACTTTGCGCATTATAAAAACATTATTGCTAAAGAGTCGCAGACCTTAAAATATATATGTGTATGTGTGTACATAAGAAACCCCCTCTCTAAAAACTAGATGAAATTGGTTTTACAAATCGAATACATCAATTGGCATCTTTATTTCGCATAGCCCTTCTCTTCCATTGGATAATCAAATGACATTTTGAACGGGACATTGAAGACACACACACACACACACACACACACACAGGCACACACTCACATGTCAGCCATGATGCTGGCCACAAATGTGTCCGCCCTGGGCGAAGGCACGCTCCCCTTGTCTGAGCTACAAATGTTTCACAGTGAGAAATTCCTATTGAATTTAACCCAAGTGCTAAACATATCGGCGGACAATTTGACCAGCCTGCTGCAAGAACTGGAGCCACATGATCTGCTGGAGCAGTCGCCGCGTCCGATGGCCACCCATATGGGCTTGCTGGCCACGCTGAGCGTCGGCTATGCCCTCATCTTTGTGGCCGGCGTGCTGGGCAATCTAATAACCTGCATTGTCATTTCGAGGAACAATTTTATGCACACGGCGACCAATTTCTATTTATTCAATTTGGCCATATCGGATCTAATATTGTTGTGCTCGGGTAGGTAATCCTACCGTAATCCGTAATCCTTAACTAGCTGCTTAACCGTATGGCTCGCAGGCATGCCCCAGGATCTGTACAACTTATGGCATCCAAACAATTATCCCTTCTCAGACGGCATTTGCATACTGGAGAGCGTGCTGTCCGAGACGGCGGCAAATGCCACCGTTCTGACCATCACCTCGTTCACCGTGGAGCGCTACATTGCCATTTGCCATCCATTCAGGTGAGTGACCAGTCGCTGGCCTTGGCCCTGTCGTTGGCTTGATTGATGTCAGTTCCCACTAGGCAGCACACCATGTCCAAGTTGTCGCGTGCCATAAAGTTCATCTTTGCCATTTGGATAGCCGCCCTGTTGCTCGCCTTGCCCCAGGCCATACAATTCTCCGTGGTAACCCAGGGCGCTGGCTCATCATGTACGGTAAATGTTGTTTAACGACGACTATCAATATACCCTAACAGAAACTGAATGTATTTTATTGCAGAACATCGAGTCATTTTTGTTTGCTCAAGAGGAGTGTCTGACAAATAAAAAGGGGACCATTTCCCCATGTGCTGCTTGTTTTATACAGTGAAGCGCATATTCCCATTAGGCGGACACCGCTCTTAGGCGGACATTTTCTCTCAAACCATTATTCTCGATCCATTAAATGGACCCTTCTCTTGAGTGGACAGCAAATATCCGACGACGCTGTCCGCCCAAGTTGAGTTTTAAGAGCTGATCAGTTCGTTTCAATGCTAGTCTCCCAGTTTTATAAAGATATATCACGTCGATGTCATTTTTATCATGATAGCTTCACTTTGTCTTTCAAGATATCTTAACTTTACTTGGGACTTACAAGTCTGTATGCCTAACAGGTTATAGAAAACTCATTTTTATTTTTCATAATATCTTGCACAAACACCACAATATCGGGCTCATCAATAATCCTGATGTATGAACAAAATATAATCCAAAAGATAATCACAAAAAAGGCACATGAACGATCGGTCAATAATTTTGTTTCTTTGCAACGATTTTGCTTTGTTTTTCAAGATAATTTATCTTCAATTGGGACTTACAAGTCTTATAAACTTAGAGGTATATAAGATAGGGGAAAATCGATGAGTTCGATTATAGTATGTAGCTTTTAATTCGCCCAATCGCCTGAAAATTAAGTTTTCGTAATATGGCAAAGCTTAGATTGTGGCCAGTAGGTCACATAGCATAGTAATGCTATAACCTACTGCAACAGTATTCAGTATTCGGCACGCCGAATGTGCATGTTCTCTTCTACTTATATATCGGTTCGTCTGTTAGAGTATAGTATATTCGATAAGCTTAGACGTATTCGCGCATCGCATTATATTCGTATTATTTTTGACAGATGAATAATGACTTCTTTGCACATGTATTCGCCGTATCCGGCTTTCTATTCTTTGGCGGCCCGATGACGGCCATCTGTGTGCTCTACGTGCTTATTGGGATCAAGCTGAAGCGGAGCCGTCTGCTGCAGGCGCTGCCGCGTCGCAGCTACGACGTTAATCGCGGCATCAGCGCCCAGACGCGCGTCATACGGATGTTGGGTGAGTTGAGGCTCTGCCGGCTAAAGGCGCTGACATCGCAGCTATAATACATTTTGTTGGCATATGCAGTCGCTGTGGCAGTTGCCTTCTTCATATGCTGGGCGCCATTTCATGCTCAGCGCCTGATGGCAGTCTACGGCTCCACGTTCGGCATTGAGTCGCAGTGGTTCAACGATGTCTTCAATATATTGAACTATACATCGGGTGTGCTCTACTTTCTGTCCACCTGCATCAATCCGTTGCTGTATAACATTATGAGCCACAAGTTTCGTGAGGCCTTTAAGGTGAGTGCATGTGGTTAATGGGCCTGTCGGCGGCTGCTCTAAGACTTTGACCCTTGCAGGTCACTTTGGCCCGTCAATTTCGTCTCTCGGGCAAGCATCAGGGTCAGGGCCTGCCGCACAACTACAGCGCGCTGCGACGCAACCAGACGGGCTCTCTGCGTCTGCATACGGTAAACACATGCTAAAATACACTGCTTTTTGCTGAAACCAAACCAATTGTATTTAACTTTAATCCTGCAGGATAGTGTGCGCACCACTACGACGCTAACTACGTTGAATGGCAGCAGCAATGGGGCCGCAGTTGGCGGCTGTCGCAGCTCTCAGCGCTTGCAGCGCGGCTCGCTGAGCAGCTCGCATGCCACATTGCTGAGCACGCAGAGTCGCAGCAGACAGGATCTGTTTGCGGCACGCGTTGCAGCAGCTGATGCAGCAGGAGCAGCAACAACACCAGGAGCAGGAGCAGCTGCAGCTGCAGCAACACATTCGCAGCCACATCGAACGCTGCAAACACAAATTTCCCAACTGTCCTCAGTGGGCGATGCCCACTCGCTGCTCGAGGCGGAGCTGCAGTGGCCCGAGGAGCACTACGAGCTGGCGGCACGGCACAAGTGTCCGCATGCAGCGATGGGCGCCATCGATGAGCTCAGTTGTCAATCGAGTGTGGTGGGCGGCGCCGCAGCGGCGGGTCTATCCCGTGCACGCCTCAAGCTGACGCGCATCACGCGGCAGCCACAAATGCAGACAAGTGGAGCAGCACTTGCCAGCGAGCCAGCGGCAACAACAGCCACAGCAGCAGCAACAGCAGCAACAGCAGCAACAGCAGTGGCAAAGTCAACGAGCAGTGGCAAAGTGCGCAAGGCAAAGGCTAAACGCTCAAATACGCTCAAGGGTCTCCGGGCCAAATTGAATTGGCGTGGCAGGCACAAGGAGAGCGCCAACGACAGCGCTGATGGGCAACAAATGCCGCAGTCAAGTGTGGCATCAACGCCAAGTGGCGTTTACTGAAGGCACTTCAGCTCGTTCAGTCAGTCCATTCCAGAGATCGCGGCGCCCGGGTTGGGGCCAGGGGGCAGGTACTCGTAACTGTGATAAGAGCAGCAGCAGCAGCAGCAGCAGGACAACTACAACAACAACAAACAATTCCAATTTGCGGCCAACTAAGAGCCAACTATATTCCTAGCAAATACTTAGTCATATATTGTACATATATTTAACGCATGTACTCGTTATATTACTCTGATCCGCTCAAATGTGTCTCTCTCTCTCTCTCTCTCTCTATCTCTATCTCTTTCTCTTAATAAAGCAGCCAAATTTAACTCTCGTATTTGATATCTGGCAAGCGTATCTCTCGGCGCGCATCCAAATTAAGTTCTCAGACTAATGAATTCCATGCAAGTTTTAAGTGCAGCTCCCGCAGAAGCATAATCCCCCAGCAATTAAGATGTCTATCGGCTGCATAAATTCGCTTTTGGTCTAGACGCTGGCAACTGTTCGAGGGGCTTAGCAGGCGGCAGCTGTAAAATGTGAATCTGACGTTTAAAAATGGCGTATGAGCGTGTGCGGGTGCGAGTGTGTGTGTGAGTGCATGTCCATGCCCTTGACTAATTACATGTAATTAGGCACCCCGACTTCCATATACCCGCACACCCACTGGCTGGTTGTCTAAGCCAGTTGTCCAGTCATAAAGCCAAAATAATAAATGGCTAATTAAATTGAGTAAAACAAAAAACCGTAAAACCGTTATTGGCATTAACCAATTCCTCGGTTTAAGGTTCGGTTTGCAGACCTCTCTCTTGTAACGTTAATGATAGCCCGGATTGAGTTTGAGCTTTTGGATTAAAGTCACTCGGCTGTTTTTGGGGCAAATTTTCTGATACAAGCTTCGATTCGAACTGCGCTTATATATAATAGTCAATACATATGTCAGTTGGCTAAATGGTTACAAAGGTTACCCAAAGCTAGCTGAATCACGCGGTGCCAGGTTCAAACCCTGGCTATATTTGTAGCAAATCTGAAAAATGCTATACTATACTACACCTTTAATATTACTATTTAAAACATACAAGGATAGTTAAAATGCTATACCATACTAAAAATTATAATAATATTAATAATATTTATAACTACAACAATTTTCTCCATAAATCTTTACCGTATCCTTATCCTAATTTATTATGGGTGCTTATGAAAAAAGTTCGTCAGATTAAACTGCAAACTTTCAAACTGTTTAAACTTTAGAGTGAAATGCAAAACCAGAGCCTCCATTTTCTCCAGCCAACTTTCTAGCTTAACCTTAACACTTACTAGAGGGGTCTGGAACATATATGTGTATAGTATGTATGGGAGAGGAGATTTAAGGCATTGCGACACATTACTGAATATTTTATACCTTTGCACTTATTTGGTAAGAACACAACTCTGAAATGCGCAGTAAAGATTGAGATTAGGTGAGGATTTATGAAATTTGTTAATATTTCAAATGCAGTATAGCATATATAAACAAAAGTGGTATATATAATGATTGAGGTCAGATAAGGATTTAAATTATAATTGAATTTTATTGATATTTGAGGCTTTATATATATATAGCCAGGCCTTGCCCATGGTACGTATAAACAAATTTTCTCAAATAAGCTTTGAAAATGATCGAACGGTATGTATTTCTACCGAAGAACTTTGGATTCTGTGAAAAATGTGCGGCACGTTTCAAATGATTTTTCATATAGATTCATGAAAATGAATTCGAGCGCGAAACGTCATACACCACATCTTTGACCCGCCATTTCCACCAAGGAGGAATACATTTTTGGATAAGTGTGAAACACCCCTCAAATGAATTTCAACAAAAAACTTTAAAATTGAGTTTGAGGCTGATCGCATGGTAAACAAAAAAGTTTCATACAAACGTTTTTCGTAATTTTTCCATATTTGCGGGTGGAATTTCCTGAAACCCCGTCTTTACGTACACCTTCATCACATAAGGTAGCTATATTACAAATTTTCTAGCTCTTATGATTTGGGCTGTGCGTTAATCACCAATCAGTCAGTCAATAAGTCAGTCAGTTAGTCAGGACAAACAGTTTTATATATAGAGATTGGATGAAATTATTACTGCCAATATGCCCATTTATTATTATTTTTGGTGCAGGTATTTAGAGTGCCAGCTGTGCACTTTGGCGCATTTAGTTTTAATTGTCAGCGAAATTAATTAAGAGCCAGACCAAAACCGCGTGTGAGCCAAAATAAATGTTTAGCAATTCATAAAGTACAGCATATGCTGAAAACTGGTTGGTAAAATATGCATGAGCATATTAGATGCAGCTACGGCCACAACACGGCGAAATGTTGCCAAATGAAAAAGGCATTTATAGCTGCCAAATGGCAAAGCATGTCACATGACATGTAAAAGGGGAGACATGCACGTGTGCAGTATTATTCAAGCTTACTTACGAAAGTTTATGTTTACATACATTCTTATACGCCCCTAGCTACTTGCACCAAATATTAAGTATACGCAGTGAGTCACAAAATGAAGCTTGGTCAATGGCCAGCCTGGCATTTTGTAGCTGTCAATTGAGCTGAGTAAGTATCTGATTTACTTTACTATGCTAATCATATGCCTTATGGCCCGGCGGCGACAACAGGCACAACATTCAGTAAGTCTCGCCCGACGCAAATACAAAAAAAACCTTTTCATCAAATTTGCCAGTATTTATCGTATGTGACATCAAAGTCAAAGGCTTTGCGAATAGTTGCCGATGAACTTTATCAGTTTTTATGCGCTGCCCGAATAGAAACAACAACAAAAAACGAAACAAAATAAGCGTATAATATGCAGACATGGCCAAAAATTGGTTACGCTGGCAACCGCACAATAAATGTTACTGTCCCTTATGCCATCAAAAAAATTTACTATCACTTTGCCATGCGTTCAACTTGTCTGGCCGAGCAGACAGAGCGGGGACTGTATCATTCAATTTACTGGCAAATAAAATGCGCCTTTATTTTTTGTTTTGTATTTTAAATTTACCAATACGTCTTTGTTTATATCGACCCACACACACGCACACCCACGCACACATGGTCATAACGCATAAATTGCATACAAATACAACTAGAATGCGGCAATTGAAGCCGGCGCCCCGAGTACTGAGTACTGCTTAAAGGGTCTGCCAGTTCGTCGGGGTCGGGGGCTAGCCAATAAACTCGCAATTCCATTTGTATGCATGAGCCCAGTTAGCAATTCAAATGCGCGTTATCAATACCGAACGTAAGGGCGTAGTGGCCGGCAATTAAGTTATAAATTATAGTTGCCTACTTTTTAGCGGCGCCGCAAACCTGCGCTTAATGCAGCTGCGACAATTGAAATTATTTATCGCTCTCTGAATTGGCTCACACTTGTCGCCAACATACACAAGGCTCAATTAATTAACACACGCCTCGTTTTCATTGTAATTGCCAGACGTAAGCAGCCTGCGGCAAGCACACACGCACATTTACTTTGGCAAATACATGGGCACACGCCCTGTTATGTTGCAAAATAAGAGTGCGCATTTGAGATGCCAAGTTAAGTGTTGTGCGTGCCTTCGTGCTCGCGAATATCGTGCGTGTTCACATTGAGCGTGTTAACACGACTCAAATAACGATGAGAAGTACTGGATAAATATTCGGCCTCGTGTCTGCCTCGAATATCGTGCGTGTTCTCATTGCGCACTTAAACACGATCCCTGTGCGATGTGTACTATCTGATAATGTGTTAAGATATCCAACAAATTAAATTTTATAAAAGCTTACATTAGAGTTTTACCTTAAAAATCTGCAATTATTCATTTGTATTGAGTCTCCTTTCGTGCTCGTAATAAAATCGAATTACGTGCTCGATCGCATTGAGCACGTGAACACGACTTAACCCCAATGAAGACTATCGAAAAAATATAAGGTCAACCCAAGTAAATTTAATATGTGTTAATATTAAAGTATCATATAAGGAAGCGTACCATTTGTCGAGGTTGCTTTGTGTTCGTTTTAAAACTGAATATCGTGCGCATTTTCATATTGAGCATGTGAACGCGACTCAAATTATATGAGAACAATGAAATAAATATCAAGCTATTAAAAAATAAAATTAAATACGTGTTGTTATTTAGGTCTCATTTAAAAATGTGCTGTTGTATCAAGTTATAATAAAATTTAATTTGTGTTATTATTGAAGTTGAAATTTATAAATGTGCAATTAGTCGTGCGTGTCGTGTCTGCCTTCGTGCTCGCGAAGCTTAAAAAGCGTGTCAGTAATAAAGTTAACAGCTTTTAAAATCTGTTTAAAACAATATTCTCTCGTTTACAAAAACTGTCCAAAAGTTGTGCGTGTTGCTCAATTGTGCTGCGTGATCGTGCCGTTTCGTGTCGGACACGCGCCCATCTCTACATTAAGGTGCCAGCCACGCACAACCTGCACTAAGCCCCATCCTAAACCACAAAAGAACAACAATACTTGATATCAAAGTTCTGAGAATTGATGCTGTTTAGCTGGCACGTACGAATCGTTCTGGTTGCCAGGGGGTGCACAAAGAGGTACGGCTGGCGGGTGGGGTGTGGGGATTGATGTTTGCTTAAGCCTGGTATAACGTATCAAATCTTTAGCTTTTTGCCATTGACTATACGCCCTGACTTGATGATCTTTCGTTTCATATCCGTTTCCTTTGGTGTTATTACTGTTGTTGTTGCTGGCAGTTGTTTTTGTGGCATTTGTTGTTGGCATTTGGCACGTTGTTAGTGGCCTTTGGGAGTATGCGATAGTCGTAAAATGGAATTTGATAGGCCATGACATGGAAAATGCGTCTGCCCACACAAGTATGTATATCCTGCGATTGCCTAAATGCCAAATAAACTGCAATTCAATCACAGTGTCTTGTGCTGTGCCAAATATAAAATAGAAAACAAGACCAAAAAGTTAAGTTGGGTGGAACTGACAGCGCAATACCCTGCACAGAGTGTTATAATAGCCG